GCAGTACACTGGAGGCAGTGTCAAGAAACACAATGAAACATCACTTCCCAAAATGCTTGCCCCACACAGACCTAGACTGGGGATCAAGAAGCTGGCGGGGTCACCCTTTGGGAAGAAAAGATTTCTGAAGCATGCAGACACACAGTCTATGTTCTCAGAATCTTACACTTCTTAAATCTCATTGTAAAATGTCTACAAGGGGCCGGGCGCTGTGGCTCACGCCTGTACACCTAGCACTTTGGGAGGCCAAGGCGGGCAGATTGCCTGAGCTCAGGAGTTTGAGACCAGCCTGGGCAGCATGGCAAAACCCCTCTCTACTAAAAATACAAAAAATTAGCTGAGTGTGGTAGCTCAAGCCTGCAATCCCAGCAACTCGGGAGATTGAGGCAGGAGAATTGCTTGAACCCAGAAAGTAGAAGTTGCAGTGAGCTGAGATCATCGTGCCACTGCACTCCAGCCGGGGCAACAGAGCAAGACTCTGCCTCAAAAAAAAAAAAACAAAGGTCCACAAAGGCAATTTTGAAGGACGGGGATGACACCATTCAATTCCTGGAGGGAGAAAGGGGGACAGAAAACAAGTCTTTGACTGCACACAACACACGCTCTGTTTTGATAAAAAAAACCTTTCAGGTCAACCCCCACATCAAAGCTGTGGCTGTCCTGAGGCACTCCAAGCACCAGCATCTTCTGGGCCAGGATATTTGTCACAAGACCCTGGGGATAGACCTTGCCATATGGGTTCAGTGAAATGAGTGGTCAAGACAATGACTTCGGAGGTATAAAGCTGTAGGAATACCTGCTTATAAGCGGTCTTGACATTTATTTATTTAGTTTTCCTTTAAACAACATCTGATTGGTTCGGAAAGTACTCTGTGTCAGGCACTGTGCGAGACACTATAGGAAAAGCAAGGGTGAAAAGATACCTTGTCTCTTAAGGAGTTTGCAATCTAGAACAGTGCTCTCAACTGGCCATGTTTTGTCCCAAGGAACATTTGGCAAAGTCTGGAGACATTTTTGGTTGCCACGACTAGTGGTTGGGGGTTAGGTAGAGGGTGCTGCTGGCATTGAGGAGGTAGAGGCCAGGGAAGCTGCTAAACAAAGCACAGGGCAGCCACCACAACACAGAATTATCCAGCCCGATATGTCAATAGCGCCCCAGCTGAGAAACCTTGATATAATCACACAAGATATGTCAAAGATACCTAAAACTCTATTTTCTGGGCTTACATGTTCAATTAAGGAGTTCTCTTTTTTGTTTTTAATATTATATTGCAAAACTTATGAGTCAGCTTCTTGGGAGAGTAAGTAAAGTAAGAAGCACCGGTTGCAGGCAGGGACCAAATCTCTCTAATCTCAGAGTTTCATATTGAACCATTGATACAAGGTGCAGGAGGGCTTCCTTGAAAATGTGATCCCAGAAACATAGCTGATGATAGAGAATCCTGCCCAGATGAGGTAGGAAAGCAGACCAGACACAGCTACTGCTTGTAAATTATATCCCGTGGTATGGCTGAGGGTATAGTTCTACTTGAAGTTCATACACTGGCTGAATTAAAACCACGGACATAGCTTAGGGCCTTCGTTTTAGAATTCTTTCTTCTACCCCCATTTGTCAAGGCATATATAAGCTCTTCGATTTCAGCAGTGTGAGCTTACACATCCTCTCAAGTGAAAATGTGTCATATATTTTTTCCACCTTTTTGTTTTTAACCCTAGGGAGCATTACTAATAAAATCGGCCCCTGTTCTATGGACTATGATCCCAATCTCTTAAAAGAAGACCTACACTCTCAGGTAAGATGAAGGCTGTAGAAGTTGGCTTTGGAAAGACCATGAAAACAGCAGCCGCTGGTTATAAACTATGATTTCTTAAAATGTATTTCCAGGTAGAAAGTAATTTGGTCTTCACAGCAGGTTTTGAAGTGTGGGATGTGGTAAAGTGGCTGACGTTTTGAGAAATCAGCAATGCCAATAAATTTTTATAACATTGGAATCAGACTTCTTTAAGCTATTGAAGACTTTAGTTAAATTAATCAGTCTACAAGACTCTTTTCAGTTGGAGCAGGATGATTAGAAAATGTGCTGATTGTGCTGTGTTTCAGTGATTTATTTGGCACGATCATGGCTGCCATGAAGTCTGTATAGAAACTATCTTGGTAAACTTAGATAAATTAAGTAGACTGGATTTCCAAAACATTGGCCACATTAATATTACTTGTATTACTGGATCCAGTTTTTAGATACTTAACATTTTAAAAATCTGTATCTGCCTAGACCGGGTGACTTTGAATTTTAAGTATTTAAAAAATTTAGCTAGAATTTAAAAAATTTGGCTAGAAAATTGAAGTAAAAGAACCCGACCCACCCCTACAACCTGGTCCCTTTGTGTACAAGTTATCTGAATCATTATCTTAATTTATACCTTCCTGGTTAAATGCATATAGTTCTACAGGGCCATCTTTCATGTCTTGCTCTCACTACTGACGTTAAAGTAAATCTTTTCTTTATTAACCTCTAAATTGTGGGCCATCATTTAATCAAATAAATGACTATGTTTTTAATGTTCAGGTGACTACTTACAGAATGTACAATTGTGATTGCTTCTATATTGCAGACTTTTTACATTGCAGACCTTCTATATCACAGGCTATATTAAAGATAAAAGCTCTGAAATAAAAAGTTTAGTGAAATCTGTAACAATGAGAGGTACCATTTACTGAGAATTAGGACATTACTAGGTGCTGGCGAATTTTTTCAGTCTACAACAAATGACTCATCTTATTCTCACAGCGAAATAACGAGATAGATATTGGTATTATCATCATTATCCCCAACTTAGAGATGAGAAAAAATGAAGCATGGGAAAATGAAGTAAATTAACCAAAATTATATTACTAATTAAAGTATATAACTGGGTTTTGAACCCAGACTGTCTGGCTCTAGAATCCCTATTTGTAGCAATCATGGAAAAACATAAGTTATGTGTGTTAGCCAGGTATGTTTTCTACTTCTTGGTTTTTATAATCTTCATTTCAGGTCTAGGGTATGGAAATCACGGGGCAATCCTCTAGCAAATAAAAAATGGGTGAATAAATATCACATTCTTTTAGTACATATTATGTATTCAGGTCATTTTACATATACTCCGTGAGAAACTAATGAAAAAAGATGTTTGTGCGACTTCTACAATACTATGGGTCTAATACTAGCCTTTTAATTATTTTTGTAAAATTCTCATAGCAGTCATTGACCATAAACTTTGGGATTAGAAACAAGGCTAAAGTAGGTAAGGTGAGAATGAATATGTTCACTCTAAAAACCTAAAACTCTCCCCCATTATTTTCTGAGTTTACATGTTCAATCAAGGAGTTCTCTTTATTATTATTATACTTTATGTTCTAGGGTACATGTGATCACGTGGGCTTCATCCCTGGGATGCAAGGTTGGTTCAACATACACAAATCAATACACATAATCCATCACATAAAGAGAACCAAAGGCAAAAACAACATGATTATCTCAATAGATGCAGAAAAGGCCTTTGACAAAATTCAACAGCCCTTCATGCTAAAAACTCTCAGTAAATTCGGTATTGATGGAACGTATCTCAAAATAATAAGAGCTACTTATGACAAACCCACAGTCAATATCATATTGAATGGGCAAAAACTGGAAGCATTCCCTTTGAAAACTGGCACAAGACAGGGATGCCCTCTCTCACCAGTCCTATTCAGTATAGTGTTAGAAGTTCTGGCCAGGGCAATCAGGCAAGAGAAAGAAATAAAGCGTATTCAATTAGGAAAAGAAGAAGTCAAATTGTCCCTGTGTGCAGATGACATGATTATATATTTAGAAAACCCCGTCGTCTCAGCCCCAAATCTCCTTAAGCTGATAAGCAGCTTCAGCAAAGTCTCAGGATACAAAATCAATGTGCAAAAATCACAAGCCTTCTTATACACTGATAACAGACAAACAGAGAGCCAAATCATGAATGAACTCCCATTCACAATTGTTTCAAGGAGTTCTCTTTTGATTTTATTTTTAATATTTTATTCTAAAACTTACGAAGCAATTGCTTGGGAAAGTAAGTTTTTCCCTGGGATCCAGGCACATTGGGAAGGTGTCTTCATGCTGAATGGCTTTCAGAGGCAGCACGTACATGTTGGGACCTGCATCTCAGCCCCATCAGTGCTGTGGGATGACAGAGCCAGGACACACCCAAATTATAAGCAACCAAGTGTTACGGGTAAGGGCATTTATACCACCTTCTAAGCATAGAAATATCCCTCTCTTGACAATAAACAGTCTCAGCCTGAGACTCCACACTCCAATTTAAACATTTTATTTTTTCTCATGTTCTTATAGTATCAGGAATTAACTTGGATCTTCAACTAATTTTTAAAAATTCTAACCTAAGCAGTTCATAAAATGGCCGTGGGAAAATAAGGTTAGTGTTGCACTTCAGATGTGAAGCATCAGGTTTTCAAATGTAAATGATCAGAGGATAGTTTACATGTGTGATGTCAAGTGGCCAGAGATGCTAGTCATCTTCCAGTGGGTAGAAACAGAAGCCCGAGGGACTCAGTACTTCAGGGGTCTCTCCAGCATATCCTGAGCTACCTGGCCAGGGAGATCTTGTTTTCCTCTGCGTACATTAATGGAAGCCTGTCCTGTGAAATTCTCTGATGAACACATCAGGCATGAGTTAAAGAAAGGGGAAAGAGTATTTCTGCTGGATGGTCTCAGGATTTAGGCTGAATCTAATTTGGAGCTATGATTGTTTTTGGATGATGGTAATAGCACTGATGGAAATGAACCTGATGTCATATTTATTTGCTTTTGATAGTTCAGGCACACCTGGTGTTTGTTGTTGTTATCTAGGACTTGCAATTCTGTGATCTTATTAACACAAGCCTCTTAGCAGAGTGTTTCCACCGCAAACCTTCCTCCCCTGCCTTCTTAAAAACTGGTGAGCATCACTTAGGTCGGCATGAAAGCTTCCACGGCTGCTCACTTCTGATCTTCCCAGGGCAGTTCAAAAGCATTTGTAATCCTCTGGATTCAGCCCTTTGTTCAGCATTTCCTCCTTCTAAGGCTTTCTCTTTTGATGAAAACAATCCCCTTGCCCTTCATCTGGCCAGATGGGCAGGTGAACAGTTCTCTCCAGAGACCCACAGAAAAACCCTGTGAGGGGTTTGGAGAAGAAATGCTGCTAAGTGGAGCTTCACTGTGCTGACACCGTAATACTTTTCCAGTGCCCTGGTAGCCCTGCCTGTGAACTGCCAGCGCTCTCTGCACTCACAGACTTATCCTCTCACCAGGTCGTGGCCCTCATCCTTCTCTGTAAACTGATTGGCTCATGAAAGGAATTATGGCAAAGGGGCAGAAACCTCTGGATCCTCAACTAATTTTAAAGTTTCTAACCTATGCAATAAGGAACCCTGAGCTTTGCTACCTACCATATGACACAATTAAATAGGGTTATATGTCATCGGCTTAGATAACGTTTGAGACTTGGCTCCTATAACATTTTTTTCATGGCAGCTGCAAAGAAATGCCATAATAACTCACAAGAAATGGAAGGGTGTTAAATATTCAATTGATCACTTATGCTGTATAGGATATGGTACCAGATACTACTTATATCCTTAGCATTGTAAAGCATTTTACATGCTATTCTCACACCTCCTGGAAGAATTATATAGGTACATAAATTATATATGTGTGTAAATTATACGTTATATAAATTATATATGTATAATATATCTAATATAATATATATGTTTCTCTTCATGAGTGTCTTATCTCTATTCTTTAAATTTAAAACTTCAGTTCATGGACTTTAAATAATCCATCTGTGTTCACAAAGTAGTAAAAAGACTTGAATGTGTCTTCTGATCACCACCTGACTACTCTTTTTGCTATAGCACTATATATTTTAGATTTTCGAAATTCCTTAAAACACTTTCGCCTCTCAGTTTGCATTGCATTGGAAGAAGCTTCATTCATTGTTTCGTGACCAGTGTTGTATCTGACCACCAATATTCACAAACCAGATTTTTAGTCCTCCAGTTTGAAAATCAGATTCTAAATTTTAGCAACTTATATTTAAAGATTTGCTTTTGATTTCTGTGGCAGGTCAGTATATGAGTAACAATACACACAACATATAAAATATGATGCTTTGGAATAAATTTGTACCACCAATTTCTATTTTAAAGTATAGATATTAATCTCTTTAAAGACATTGCTATTGAAAAAAATTAATGATGATGTTCTTAGGGTTCAGAATACAGACAGGATTTATAGTTGTAATGAGGCAGAAAATCTAGTTTCTGTCTTCTGAGTGCTGACAATATGGTTCAGGCATTGTTTTTCAGGCATATATTTAAGATATACATTTGTGTTTGGAAGACTGTTTATATTATGAAAGTGCTTCCATGTGAACAGGCTTCATACATCCTGGTACTTACCTGGGAATTTCTCTGCACACACTTACCTTTTGTTTTGGAATCAGAAGTTATTTCTTTGTATTTTTGTTCCTCTTTTGAATCAGTTCTTTGGAGATGAACTAGTTTCCATGACTTTATATCTTCCCAAAAATCCATCTGAAGGAATTTTTAGTGCCTTAATTTAAATATTTCTTAAAGGAAATATAAAAGTTCAAGAAATGTTTGCAATAGTTAGTATTCACCGATGTTTTTCTTTATGACTTGGCAACTAGAGGTAATGTCCACTGTTGCTGTTATTATAATGTAATTACTTAATAAAATGGCCTCTAATTGCTGTTTCTT